TGTCACTGGGGTGATCAGATAGGTCGCTCCTCCCACAGATGTTTGTCAAAGGAGACAAACATCTCCAGATTCTGTACTAAAAAGTGCACTTATACATGTAATCATGTCTGATTAAAGAACATCAAAGACAAATCCAGATTTGTCGCCCATGATACATGAACATGGCCTCCTTTACACCTAAATAGATCTTTTGAGTTCACCCTCATGCGTGCATGCATACACGTCATTGCTGCCTCGGTTTTAGCTCACCTCTTCCATCATGTCAGGCTTGCCTCAAAGTGACGAATGCTCAAACTTTGCGTAAGATATGCCATGTCATAAAAACCCATTAAAATCAAGGTATACAATTTGTATTAAACATGCTTCGTTGGCCCGGGTGTACGTCCATTCACCAGCAGCAATGAAGAATCGGGTTGTTTTGCTCTTAGCGGGCCACATGAGCACCCTATGATGAATGCAAACCACTCATAAAAAGTAATCACTTGCACAAATCATGACTACATTCATCCATCAAACATTTGGCCAACGCAGCGCCTTCACTTGCACATACCTACAGCCATACAAGCTTTCTGCATACCTGACGATCAGCAATTCACTGTTCAAACACTAATACAACTAATTGTGTCTCTGTGTTTCTTATAAATATTAAAACATGCATAATCACATATTGTACATGTCTTTACATGCCTTCACATTCATACTATACGCTGTATCTTGTGTTGACTGTGAGCTGTCGGTGTTCATGCTGCTGTTGTGTTCTGTGTTGTGGAATGGCTGACATTGTTATCTATGAGCCTGCTTCTGTGCATAGAGTTTGCTTAAGAGGTTTTTTTTTTTTGTTTGTTTCTTTGTTTTAAATCGGGCTTATACACTCACAAATACACAAAGACACACTTCCACAGGCCTGACTCGTGTGAGTAACCAATGATATTAATTTCATCCTGAGCACACTTAAAAAGGATATTATGTAGGGAAAATAAAGGGGAGTTTGTATGACTGTGTATTAACAGTCTCCCTGCAAGTCCTTCCTGCAGTTCTTTGGGGGTTTTTTTTTACAGTCATTCACTCTTCTCAAATGAGTTATGACTGCAGTTCATGTTCATTCTTAAGGCACAGGCATGATTTCTGAATTCATTATGTGCTAATGGTCACAAGGGTGGCTAAAACTGATCAACCCTTAACGTTACTTTAGAAGTTGCTCTTGATGCTTTTTTTGACAAGCTCTTTCTAGATGAGTGTCTGAAGCCCATTTCATTCATAACAGGGTGGCTGTGCTGCTTTACCCCTTTTTGCCTATACACACACATACACACACACACACACACACACACACACACACATATATATGTTCAACCAGAGGTTTGTATGAAAGAGTTCTGTCATTGGACTCAATCTTCAAAACTTCAAATCTGAGAGGAACTTCGGAAATCACATCACAATCACTGTCAGAACTCTTCCATAATGGTAACATCTGTGGTTTTGACTGTGTAGATTTAGCATGAGAGGAGCTGGCACTTCCTTGTGTATCAGGTTCTTTGATACACACAAAACAGGTGACTTCTTATCGCTCTCTCTTTTGTTTTTTCTTGGTGGTTTGGATGGGAATTGCCACTCTTCTTGTTCTACCTCTACACAATGATCTGTGTCACTGTGGCTCAAAGCTCTCATATTGCCTTTTTGCTTTGTTTTTGTAGATAAGTACTCTGTGTTGAGGGGTGTAGCGGGCGAGGGGGAGAAAGAGAGAGAGGGAGAGAGCAATACAAAATGGCATTTAAACATCTCCCCTTTCCAGGTATATAACGACTGTGTGAATGTCTCTCTGAGGACAAAACACAGAGCGACCTGCTTAACTGTGTGTGCTGACTGACTGCCATGTCTTTCTTCTCACTCACCCCCCACCCATCTGTCTTTCCAATTTCCTTCTCTCTCTCCTCCACCTTACCGTCCTCCCATCTGCCTGATCTTGTCTGTCACTCATCCCCTTCTCCGTCTCTGCCCGTCTTCCGTTCGTCTGCCTGTGCATCAATTTGGCTTCTTCCTTGGCGGGGTTCTTGTTTTAATCTTCTCACTCAACTTGCATGAACACAAACACACATACATGCGTATGATTCACTCCACCGCTCTCTTTCTGTCTCTCTTCTCTCAAACCTACACACTTACGCGCTTGCACATCACACACTCACACCAGACACAGGCAGATGGCCCATCTGCCAGGCAAGCTGCCGATCCATGTTCTCACAACCCCAGCGAGCACCCCCTTGCCCTGGGCGGTCAAACCCAGAACCAGACCCCCAACACTGCCAACACCACTGCCCCTACAGCCACCCATTACCAGCCCCCAGCATGCTGTGACATTCCCTGCGCCCTGATTGTCCAGCACTCTTTCGAACCCACAAACCCCTCCGAGCTCACCCCCAAAATGAGAATGACAACCTTCACCACCTCACCTCCAACCCCAAGGTTATATATACAATAGAAGATTTAAAAATATATATATAATTGGTTATTAATGCTTGTAGCCCGATGTGTTTTTGAAATGTCAATATGAATGATTATTTATTAAGAGATATAATGAAAATCAGGAAGAATGGTGCAAATGCCGGATGCAGAAGTACCTCATTTTAAAGAAAAAAAAAAGTTTTGTCATCTGGCATGGTGCCAGCTGAACTGTGCAATCATGCCTTTATACCACGAGAGGGTGCTGTCGCTCTATTTTGAGGCAAATTAAGCACCATCTTTCTAAGATAAATGTGTATGTCAGGTCAGCGAAGTGTTTATTTTTAGGTCACAGAGACTTTTGCTACATTTTATATCCCAAATGAAGCCACAAAATATTCTGTCTAAACCAAACATTGTTCTTCAAATATGGCCTTGACTGAAAAATTTGAGTTTTACATTAATTATTTTACTTATAGGCCATTATAGTTCTTAATAAGTGACTTAGTGTTGCTATATCTTATGTAATGTTATAATAGATCTTGTGATGCTGGGAAATGTTACACTCTTCACAGTATAACATAATCTTGTAGTCAGATCTGGCTCTGGGATCTTCTTAAAAAAGAGGAAAGAAACCTTCCATTTTTCCTTGCTTCAGTCCCTTTTGTTCACCCAGTTACCCATTAGTCTCCTTTCACAGACAGCAGGCTGACCATTTGTGATTCACTCTTCTCTTTCAACTCCCCCGCATTTCTTTCTGTACCAACACTGCCCCGTTGATGTCCCCTAACTCAAACTTTTAGTGTTTGTATGATAGTTTCACGACAGACGTTAGCGCCCCCTCGTCCTCTCCTTCCTCCCACTGTCCCTCCTTTAGATGGGGCATCACTCCTGGTCCCCTCGTCCTGTGAACTACATACAGTAGGGCCAGAGCCCCCTCCAGAATCCCCCAGACCCAAAGGACACGGTCAGTAAAACTCTCTATCCCCCCTACCTGTATTAATGTGACTCCTATCATCACAAAAACCCTGTATGACGTTACCTAAATAATACTACCCTGGAATTTAAAACACCAAAAATGAAACATCCAAGTTATGTGGTTCCTCCCACCTCACCTACCTCTGAGACAGAAAACCTTACCTCATCTCACCACCTAAAAACCTACAGAAGCACACTGGCACGTTTGTGGACAATGAACAACGTAAAAGTTGTGGAAACTTCTCCAGCACTGTCTTCTGCTCACCTGAGCCCTCTCTCGTCTATGTGCTCACCTCATTCATTGCAAACTGAACTCCCCTGCACTACTATCCACCCTACCCTATGCAGTAAAAGCATGAAACACCTCTCACTGAGTGTTACCATTTTTTAGACTATGTGGATAAGTTATCATATAAGTAAATGTGAATATAGTCATATTTCTTTATAAGTTTCATTTAACTGATACTGTAAGTTAAGTTAAAGCTTAAGTTAATGTATTTGCTGTGTTTCAAGTGGAATTGTTAAGATTGTTAATTGTTAGACATTTTTTGATTTAAGTTAATGATGCAATCCTAAAAAAGAAGAACTTCAGCAATAAATTATGGCCTGGTACCAAATTTACGAGATGTTAATCTCAATGTGAATTTTCCTTATCAAAGTGGCCATAATGAACCAGGTAAAATACATAAGACAAAGTCAGGTACTGTCCAACATTTGAACTGTCTTGCATAGAATAAGTTGTATTTGAAGATTAAGTAGATAATGTATGGTAATGCTTGCTTGATAATTGACCTAACACCCTGGAATCACAGAGCACACAGCATGACTGCAGTGTGTTTCCTGCTGGTATTCCAGATTATCTGCACTCCCTTACAGACCTTGTACAAGTGTGTGTATGTTTCTCTCTTCCAATATCCTGACCACAGCTCAGAGTGTGCTTCTCTATCTTTCCCTTCCATCCTTCCCCTCCTCTCTTTTTGCTCTCCCCGCTTCCTGCCAAATCCATGTTTCCCTGTGGCCATCAAAACATTTTTGTGCTGAACTATTGCAAATACAACGACTTGAAATCGTGTGTCATGTTTGCTTGTTGTCCCGCCCTCATCGTTTCACCATCTGCTTTGTCTAACACCTTTCTCTTGCTTTCACTATTATTTTTAATAACCATTTATACTGGTTGGATGGATGACATCCCTTTTGCTGAATACAAATACACCCCATACTATGTCCTCTCTGCACATACTCTGTTTCCTTTGTTGTTCTCTTCCTCTCTTCCTTACTCCTGTATTTGCACTACCCTCACTCCTTTCCTTTACTCCCTTTACCTCCTTCTCTTCCTTTATCCAACTTTCCTCAATTTATCCCTCCCATTTGCATTCCTCTTATCTTGTCCTTCTCCATATCTCCTTATCTCCATCTCCCATTCTTAAACATTGTCCCTCGATCTTTCTTCTATCCCATCCCTACTCGCCTTTCCTTTCAAACGTCTTCTTCCATTTTCCCTCACTTCCCATTAACATTTTCCCCTCTTTCCATTTACCATCACCTCTTCTCCGTTCTACTCCTTCCCTGCCCCTCCCCACCTACAGGACGATAAGGAGATCGACCTGGAGCACCTACACCGCCGGGTTAACAGCTTGTGCACCGAGGACGAAAGCCCCCACAAGCAGTTCTCCACCTCTTCCGTCGATTTAACACCCCTTGACATGGATGCGCTACCTGCTGCCCGCCAGGCGCTTGAGCAGATCAGCGATTTCCGCAACACCCACATCACCACCACCACCTTCATCCCTGAGCAGATCCAGACCCTAAGCCGTAGCCTCTCTGCCAAAGCCGCCGCTGGATTTTCTGCTGGTTTCAGTAGCGGTGGCAGTGGCGGGGGTGTCCTCCAGGACCACCGGACTGGTGGGGTGGGCCCTTTCAGGCAGAGGGCCCCCAATGGTGGCTTCTTCCGCAGCCCCATTAAAACAATGTCCTCCATTCCCTACCAGCCCACAGGTCCAGGACCCAACTTTGGCTATGGCAATGATCCAGACAGGGGCACCTCCATATGAGGAGTTGCTAAGGTTGTTTCAGGAAGAAGAGTTATATGCAGGAGGAGGCGAGGTGGTTCTAGTCAGTCATAGGTGGTAGAACAGATATGATGTGGCTAAGTTCGAAAGTCAGAAGGTGGAGATCTGTGTACATAGGAATCTTTCTGTTTTCAGTTTCAGCTGGGGTGTTTCCAGGGGTGTCTATTTTATACATGGGGAAGTCAAAGGAGGTGGAAGTCTGTTGGGGTGTTCCTCATTTGTGCAAACCACGGTGGTGAGGTGCAAGAGGGGAAAGGGTGCGGGAGGGGGCTTGACTCTTTGCTTTATTGTTGTTGTTCTTGTGATTGGGGGATTATTTTTGAGATGTGTGTGAAAGGGAATCTTGTTTTTTTTATTGTTTCAGTTTTATGACATGGGATCTGCCTCATGTTACGGGATCTGATGAAACAACCTGACTCCTATTACTATCTAAACTCCCGTCTCGGAGGGTTTAGTTTATACTAGTTCAGCTCCAGGAAATACTCTTATATTCTTGTTAGCTCCAGGGCTGTCATTTGTGGATGACTGGTGATCTCTTTAGCCATGAAACAACTTCAAGGGGGCTTCTACTACTAAGCAATTATGGGGCTGTTATTTTGTGAAGGTATATAAAACACATATACTTTTGTCAGTGGCCCTCGGAATACATACAGTACACAGCCCGTGTAGTGTTTTGAAAAGGCCCCAACTCAATGAATATTGGAAGAATCCACTTCGCCAGTTTAACTCTGCCTTTTCACGCTGTTTTCTCTTTTCTGGTGGCGTTTCACCAATACCTGGGGCTCTAAATCTGTAATCATCTCCAAGATGGTGTCCACACTGTGGCCTGACTAAAGAGAAGGCTGAACACATAGCGACACCTTCCTGGTGCATCGATCTGGAAACTGTTGAAATGCCATGACAGTGCAACAGTATGACACTGTAGAAATTGCCAGTTTGGTGCATCAATCTTAAACTACTTCTGCCATTTTTTTTTCTTTTTTTTGGTGCATCAGCTTGAAACTGTTTTCACCATTCTGATGCACATTAAACTCTTTGTCAATCCCACTGCACTGTACCAGTGCCCACAGACCTGTAAGTGATTGTATGTAGATCTGACCTTTTCTTTTCTCACCTGTACTGTGCTATCTGCTTTTCAAGTCAAGGTGAGATCCTCTAATCTGACTCTAAGAGGTATAGTAAAAAGCAGCTTAAAAAAAAAACTAAAAAAAACCCATAAAGGACAAGCTGAAAGACTTCAAAAAGCTTATGCTTATTATATGTCTTTTATTGAATTTTGTTTTTGGAAAAAAAAATAGATTTTAATGCGTGGAATGTGTTTTGGTCAGGAAGTACAAGAAAAAAATTAACATTGTTCTAAGCTGTCTATGTTGTTTTTTTATTTTTCAGCAAATTTTGAAAAACTGCTAAATGAGTGCTGTAGTCTCTGGTTTTGCATCATTAAGTCATTCAGACGTTTGATTTTTGTTTTTTCTTTGTTTTGCTTACTTTTAGTGCTACCATGGCTCGGGTGTTTAAAAAAAGATAAAATGTCACTCTGTAATGTCATCAAGTTCATGAATCACTTCTTATCAGGTTCAAGTGGTGAAATGGAGTTTTATTTTGTGTTGAGGAGAAGCCATTGCAACAGCATCTTCAGTGCAGGCCTTACGTGACAACTAGTTCGCTGTAACCTCCCAGCTTCCAGTTAAACCCAATATATCAGTGTACTGGGACTATTTAAGAAGAACAGATCAGTGGTTGTGCTGCGGGTGATGGGAAAGTTATGAAGATCCAAAGGCCATCACAACTCAATGGCTGCCTTTTGCGAGACGAGTCCAAAATGCGGTTCTGTTTCATACTTTTCATGTTAAGGGTACTGTTTATATAACTTTTTGTTTGTGTGTCTGTTTGTTTGTTTGTTTTTTTAAGTGCCAATTAATTAAAATGAGACCATTAAGGTGCATTTTGGGGTGGGGAATGGTACACTGAGAGCATTAAAGGAATATTTTATGGGTCACGGGAGGGGGGTGGGCGGGGTTGGTAAAACGGAACCAAACCTTTTTCACTAACGCTGTATTAATAATTGATAACGATAGTTGTTTAGAACAAGTTTTCAGTTTGTTATCTTAAAGAACTAAAACTGCAAAATGTTGTGTGTAGAGAATTCAGTCACGCCACAGTGTTTTGAAGCAAGCGTTCTTAGGCATTCTTTTCTTATATTAGGCTACAGTATGGCTATCGAATGACAAATAGGACACAGACATTTAAAAATTTTTATTTAGTATAAACGAAAGAGACATTATAAAAATGTATATTTTACATGTCAATGCTATTTTTGTTTAACAAAAAGAAAAGAGTATATCACATTGGGCTTTGGTGTTGAGTTTGAGCAGTCACATTGCTGCATTTGGCTTTTCCCTTGTCTTGCCCATGGTAAACATGAACACACACGAACCGTTTGCTTTTCTCATGTCATCCTGAGTTCATTTTATTATTTGCTAGCTAAATAACGAAAAGTGGCAAGTTCACTAAAAAGAAAGCATGCACAAACTTGCTGTTTTGCTATCTGTTAACATTTTTAATTTCATACATAGAACTACAGGATTTACTTGATAATTTTCAAAAATTTATGATGTACAGTATTTAATATAGGCCTATTTTGTTGTATGTGTTGCATATTATTCAAAAACCGAACAAACTGGGGCCTCTGTTACAAGTGGCAAAGCTTTCTGTGTATAATTTGTCTAATAAACAGGTTTTCTACAGTGGGATGGTATTTGTTGTCTTTGCTAATGTAGACAACCATCAGAGGAAAGTCACACTTCAAAATTCAACATGAAAAAACACAACAGTTTGTGAATAATTAGTTAAAGAAGAGGATATTTATCGTTCCTTACATTAAACAGCTGTGCTCAAACTTATTTTGGCATGTTCCCCCTGCCCCATGACTTTCATCAATTCTTTACAATATAAAAACAACCAGATGAATTCTCTGTGATGTAAACATTAGCACAGTAACATCAGCAAACTATTGTTTATTTCTGAGGAAAAAAGTAATTCTACATAGTGTCACTTTTGCTTTTTTCTAACATGCTTGGCTGTGTCCCACCTGCAGTGGCTCTAAATCCCACCACAGACTGAGAAACACTGCACTAAACATATCACTTCCTGGTTCCCAACACAAGGGAAAACTCTTCACATTTTTTTCTTATAAAGGAAGCATCTAAAGATTTAAATTCACAGCTTTCACCGTTTTCATGTATTTTACGGCAGCGTTGATCCAGATACTGGATATCAGAATCATGATAGAAGTGGATACAAATGTTTTGTGAGTTCATTTCATGTGTGGAATACGTGTGAAGTTCAAGCCTGAGCTAAGCTTTTGTGTCTTTCCTATATAGGCTATCACTTCAAAGGCCCATATACTGCTGTTAACAGCTGGATAGAGATCCTGCTAAGGATGACTGCTGTCAAGTTCACTGGAGCATTACACTGCAATAGCCTTTGTGAACCAGATAGTGGCACTACATAACTCCCACAAGTGTCTCTCTGAACTTACTGTTAGCACTCAGTGATGAGTTGAATGGTTGTCAGGCATTCCCAGAGCTAATTAGAATTAATGGAAGACAGTGATGGACACAGCTGAGCCACAGCAAATTTGAACTAAAGGTCTGAGATCACTGTAAGCAACTTAATGTAGACTTAACCACTCACATTTCACCCTTTTGAAGAGGAAGCATATAGATTATAGACTCTAAAACAACTATGGATTCTTTTTATGGCATAAAATATAACTTGTAATAGATCTCTATATATTTAATGAGAAGCCTCAAGAAAATAATATAGACACGCACAAAGCTTTGTTAAATATGATTTTACTAAAGATTAAGTCTATACTGGTTTAGCTATAATGAAGGGAGTCTAGTTGAAATGCTGTTAATTTCGAGTTTTATTGACACAGCTCCTGTAGGTAAAATGGATGAGTTCCAGTGAGTTCCAATTAAAACATCAAGTATTTAAATTCCATGATCTTCATTTTTCGGGAACAGGAAGCTTCCCCTCCGTTGTTTCCTATTTTAAAGTTACACATTTAGAAGATTACTTCATCCGAAGCAATCCCTGATCTATGCGGGTTTAGTTGATTTAGTTGAAACGCAGATACGTTTTGAAATCCCTGTCCAGCTCCCCTCACCCCAGTCTCGTGCCCGTCGCGCCCCTGTCTCCAGGGAGATGGGAATGAGAAGGGGCAGCACGCAGACTCCTCTCGCGCACTGGAATGGGAGCCCGCCACTCTCCCTCGAGGAGCCCCCCAGGCGTGACCAATGGGACATAGAGTCTCCATTGTGGCTGCGACACTTTAATAATCGTCAGCTACAATATCCAACCTGTCGGTAGCTTCAGGAGCCCGGCACAGCCCGTTAGATGGGGGGGCTCGTAGGTGGGAAGAGGGGGCAAACGCTCGGCGCCAGACCTCTAGCCCGCAAGACGTCCCCATGATGAATACATGAATAAAAAATGGAAAAGACTGATGTCGGATTATCTCTGAAATTATGGGGTTCCTTCACACAATTCCTTGCCATATATTGTGTCGTGGATATCTCGCGGATTATGAATGAAAACGCAAAAAAAAGAATTCTTTATTTTTTTTTTTATTATTTGATAAGTTTATTTCATTTGAATTTGGTTAGATTTTTTTTTAATATTACCAGGATACTTTGGCAGCTACATTCGGGTTTGCATCTCTTGATCTTTGTGTCCCATACACCGATCTTGTGCATATCCTTCTAATTGACTGCGCTGAGCCCATTTCCCATCAGCAATCACCCTCTTGCTATTTTGCCAGATGCCTAAAGTTTACATCTCGGTAAGCACGGCTCCTTTGATCATCAGACTGAACGTGGTTCAATTTGCTTCCCGTTGATTTTTTTAACTGTAGCTTTAAAAGCCGTATTTCGTTTTTCTAAAGGTCGCCTATCTTATAGAAGGCATGGTGAAGTTTGGCAATAACGTCGGTGTGTGTGTGCGCGCGAGAGAACCCTTCAACCGCGCGCCACTTGTGTCAGTATGGAAACAGTGTTGAGACCCCTACTCATGTTTCCGTTCCCTGTGAAGCCCTTTTTTACCGAAAGGGCGGTTCCGAGAGCTGGATCAAAAGGTTTTAGAGCCTCTACAAAAGAAAAATGGAAACTGGAGATGATCTGAGAATGAATGAATGAGCGCGCGAGCCCCACGAACCGCTACATTCTTTTTTTTTCTTTTTCTTTTTTTTTTTTTTTGGCTTTTGGTCACGCTTCATCTACCCACGACTTTTCTTCCTCAACTTTGTTCATTTCTGCTACTGGTGAAATCCAGCAGTTTGGTTTTGGCTGAAGCGGTTTTATAGTGGAAAGCATTAAATGAACTAACCGAGTCGCCGCTTCCACAGCCATGGGTAGCAAATTAACCACTTGAACCTTGCCATGCGCCTCTTTAACCCTCTCCCTACTCTGCGTCATTCCTGAGATGTAACACGGGCTCAGAAGCAGGTAGGTGTTCTTGTCCCGTCCACGCTCCTCACCTAAAAACCGTCATCACTTGCACGTGCGTCCTGTGGGAGGTTCCCCTTACCTCCCTTGTGTTAAACACCCCCTTAAATTGTAACGTTATCATAAACAGTCCACCGTCGGGGGGTCATAATCGCCTCTCTCGGGCTTTACCGAGACTTCTCATTGGACGTCAACACGCGACCGACGCGAGGAGGGGGGCTTCCAGGCGCGTGCCGCTTTTTAAACCGACGCCGCGCCTTGAGACACCAGAGAAGGAGTCTCGCACGCGACACTCACATTCACACGGTGAGACAACATAGCTGTGCGTGCCTCCGATAACTTTTTTTCTCCACAGTGTTTTTCTTGGGGGGAATCATGGATGTCCTAACTGTGGAGGGCTGGAGCAAATGCGCACGTGAGGCGCCGGCCACGCACTCGCGGCAGCAGAGTTGTGGGAGCCCCAGAGAGGTGGAGAGGGGAGGGAAGCAACAGTTCGAGGAGTCCCGCTACGAACCTGGGCTGACGCTCGTGGACAGCGATAGCGACCCACGCGCCTGGCTGGCTTCCGCTTCTGGCACCTGTGCGGCACACGCCACTTCACCCGACTACCTGCGGCACTCGCCATGTCCGAGTACCGGCTCCTACCACGGTGAGGAACAGCACCAGTGCGTGCAACTTTTGAGCAGCTTTTATTAACTAAAAACCGGCTCATGCAACAGGCAGCAGGGGCTATTGGTGGTAACTGATGTAATTTATCAAGCTCTGGAAGTTAAATATAAACAGAAGGAGCGCTGCCTTTATGTAAATTATAACGTTTTTTGCGCAGTTGGAAAGTTGTAACGAGTTTATTGTCTAAAATAGTACTGATACGCTTTTTTCACAACCCAGAGTGTAGCTTAATTTCTTTTCATTTTTCAGAGACTGGCTCCCCGGGTTCCTCAGGCCATCCCAGCCCACAGAGCTACAGAAAACCTGCCAAGAGCCTCACGTCTTCTTCTCTCAAAGTCAGGGAGTTGTGTCGCCTTAAAGGCACCCTCACCGGGCCCGAAGAGGAGGCCTCCGTGAGACAGAGAGCCCCCTCCCACAAGCCTGTCAATGGGATTCAAAGGCAAAGGAGAGTGGCCGCCAACGCGCGTGAGAGAAGGCGAATGCACGGGCTCAACCATGCGTTTGATGAGCTGCGCAGCGTCATCCCAGCGTTTGACAACGACAAGAAGCTCTCGAAGTATGAAACTCTGCAGATGGCGCAGATTTACATCAACGCCCTCGCCGAGCTTCTCCAAGGTCCAGTGTCCTCCTCCTCTTCCTCCAGCAGCAGCAGCAGCAGTAATAACGACATCTCCAACAACACCAGCTCGCCAAAGTGTGACATTATGCTCTCGTCCACCGCTGGTTATGACGGGATGAAGGACAGGGCCTCTCAGTCTCCCTCAACCTGCAGAGCAGCGGACCCTGCGCCCGTTTCAGGTAGCAGCTTACCTGTGCACATCAGCGGGGTGCCCTTCTGTTCCTCCTTCGACGAAAGTTCGTTTTCCACTAGAGTTGAAAAAGCGATGTGTTCCCCGTCTCCTTCGGCATCTGCTCGGGCGGGCAGTTCGCAGTTTGCAAATGGGAGGAAAGCGTCTCCCCGGAGCGACGGAGAGTTTTCCCCGCACTCCCACTTCAGTGACTCGGATGAAATAGCGATGGAGCTTCATTCGAGTGAAGAAGACGATCTTTCAGAACTGAAGCTGCCCTCACACCATCACCGCACAATTTCCTTCTAAATTCCCACATAAAGACACAGTATAGCGAAGTTTCTCTATAGCCTACAGTGAAGTAATGTCCATAAGACGTGTCAATCATAGCGATAGTCCTGCGTTGACGAAATGCGTTTGTAAGAGAAATTCTTGCTTTTTGCAAATAAAAGAAAAAGAAGTTTAATGTTTAATTTAACATGTTGCATCGTTTAAAGATCTTTTTTAAAAATGTGAGTAAGGCCTAATTCGATTCTGCCAATAAATATCTATCCTATAATTTTTCAGTCTCCATGGAGACGTGGTTGGAAGACCCCTCTGCCATGTCGCGCGCAGCACTGCCACGGGTATTTCCCACGTCCCTCCAACCAAAAAGCTGTCTTCCACAAAAAAATCACAAGTTTATGGATAATTGCTTATATTTGATAATGTAAATACGTTTTTGTAGCTATGAAATGAGTTTTGTTGTGATTTATGTTTTTTTTTTTGTAAAAATGAATTTTGTTT